AGACTCTGTTCCATCTGAACATCAGTTCCTAACTCTGGAACAGAGGGATCTACATTTGGAATCACTAGAGAAGAAAGAAAAGAACAAGAACATGAACCAAGACCAGGAATATTGGACTGGGAATCGTCGCTGGGTTTCATCTCTGCTCTGTGTCTTTACAGCCGCTGAGTGTGGAAACCCCTCAGGGCGGGGTCTACCACGGCAGAGGGCTGAGTGGGAAACGAGTGAGTGTCAGTTTAGTGAAAGAGTCTGGAGACGCTGACCTGGTGCTGCTGTGACTCAGCCTCTGTCCTGTCCTGTCCTGTCCCTGAGCAGATCACCGGCGTGTCCATCCTCAGGGCAGGAGAGACCATGGAGCAGGCTCTGAGAGCTGTGTGTAAGGACATCCGCCTGGGGAAGATCCTCATCCAGACCAACCACGACACTGGAGATCCAGAGGTGACGGCCGGTTCTCCTCACTCTGCTCCTCACAGAGTCAGTACAGGTTACTAACCAGCAGGTGGCCTCTCCTCCGTCTGTCCTGCAGCTCCACTACCTCCGTCTGCCCAGAGACATCAGCGAGGACTACGTCATCCTGATGGACAGCACCGTGTCCACAGGAGCAGCTGCTCTCATGGCCGTCAGAGTGCTGCTGGTGGGTCACACACACACACACACACACACACACACACACACACACACATCAGCCAACATTGTTTTTAACTGTAACCAGGTAATGAAAGTCAAACCCACACCCCCGCAGGTTGAAATACTGTTGAGAACCTGGTAACATGTACATTTTTATCTGTACTAACCACTGTATGAGTTGCTGCCACCTAGTGGCTGCAGGCTTGTTATCATTCAAGCGTTACAGCGGTGGTACACTGATGTCCAGCTGTTGTACAGGAAGACCCTCACGCTCCCCCCGGGGGCCCCGCCCCACTATTTGAGAAGTCCTGCACTAATGCATGTGAGTTTCCAGCTGCAGTTCTGACTAACTGGAGCCCTCCCCCGTCTCCCCCCCAGGACCACGACGTACCCGAGGACAAGATCTTCCTGCTGTCGCTGCTGATGGCAGAGATGGGCGTCCACTCCGTGGCCTACGCCTTCCCTAAAGTCCGCATCATCACCACAGCGGTGGACAAGGAGGTCAACGACCAGTTCCACATCATTCCAGGCATCGGTGAGGTTCACACTGCTGACACAAGGGGTCACCAAAGAGCAAGAGACTGAGAGTTTAGTTGGTTTTTTGTTGTTTTCAGTGGGTCTCCTGTTCACACTCTTTAACAGTAGGTGGCGATAATACCCCTGTGATGTGAATTTACACCTGAGTGGCTCATCATTACAGGGCGGGTCCTGAAGGTAGACGGGTTGAGAACCACAGTTTTAGACGGTATGAACTCCTCGTGTTCTTCTCCACAGGTAATTTTGGGGACCGTTACTTCGGCACCGACGCCCCCTCAGACTGGTGTGAGAGTGACGAGGGGATGGACATCTGAAGTCAGGACCAATCAGGGACCAGGATGTTTGGTCACAGACACAGAAAACAAATGGACCTGCTCCTTTAAAATTATTATTTTTTATTCTGATCTGAGGTCTGTGCTGGTCGGCTCTCCTCCTGTTAGTGACGTGACGATGCACAAACTCTGAACTGAGATCAGTTTTAGATCAACAGTGACGTTGGAAACTCTGGAAGTTTCTCTCTGTCGTTCAAATGGACAGTGGAGCAGGAGCAGCAGGAGCAGCAGGAGGAGCAGGAGGAGCAGGAGCAGGAGGAGCAGCAGGAGCAGGAGGAGCAGCAGGAGCAGGAGGAGCAGGAGCCTCCTCCTCTTGAACATGAACACATTTTAATAGAACCAGCAGGAGAACCTTGAGGATCAGTGTTCTGCTCCAGGTCGTTCTCAGGTCACTCTGTGAAGCTGTTCACGTTTGTTGATCGGCTTCACCGAACATTTAACTTGAAAAACCTCTGCTGCTAACCTTTGCGTTTCCATAGTAACAGAGGCTGTGTGTTCCGTTTCCTGTCCGAGATTTAACACCACGGACGTTCCGTCTCAGCACTTAGTCCCGTTCTAACTGTCTTCTAACAGAAGGTCTTGATTCTTTCATTAGCAGAAGAGACTGATCCGCTCCGTGGAGGAAAGCTGGTTCTGCTGATGTTCTATATTTTTATGATAATGTTTTTAATTATTTATTCTTGTTGTCTTAGTGTCTCCATCATTTTGTTAACTGAGAAGTGGAACGTTACCGTCTGTAGTTTCAGTCACAGTTGTGTGTTTGACACCGATTCAGTTTCACCTCAAACTAAATATGACAATATTTTATGTCAACAAAAAAGTACTTTGCAAAAATTTATCTGTGACATTGACTAGATTTTTACTAATTTCTCTTCACAATAAGCAATAGCGCCCCTGGTGGTTACGGTAATCAATTATACAACTGTTTCTTATTTTCAGTAGCACAAAGATGTCTACCTCAAACCGGGTTTATTTACACTGCATATTTAGTTACACATTGAGGTCCATTGTGTCAGAAACAGTGACACCTACTGACGAGACTAAGTCTTAATTGTATTTTTGCTGCTACAATACAGTATTTAATACCATGCGAGTGTTACTTGTTACATGTGGAACCGTTAAGAATCAGCAGTGAAGGCTGTGTCACCTTCAGGTTCTCCAGAACTTTTTACTGTCATTACTGAAAGAGATGCAAACGTGGACTGAAGGCAAATGTTGTTAAAACTATTGAAATAACTTGAACTCTAACTGTTTCTGTTATCTGTACTGTGTGTCACTCTGTTAGCAGTTAGCACCTCCTCCACCTCAGTATGACTGACAATAAAAATCTGTTCACTTTTACCACTTTTAGTCTGTCTGCTTTAGATGTTCAGAAATAGTGGCGGCTGATGAAGAGAGTGCAGTTCATATTAAAGTATTTATATGTTATCTTTTTTTATTTAAATATTTTTCAGATATTTATTTCAAAATATCTAAATAACAAAATATTTTAAAATAGAACCGTGAAAAGATTTAAAATTTGGATCATATTCTTTAAATTGAAACCGCAGCAACCTTTGGCTGCAATCTACGGTAATGTCGTAGTTTGTCCACAGCACGGCAGGCAAGTGCATAATTTTCTGTTTACAGCGGATATGACGAAAAGTACCGGCATCTTGCTGCATTTTCGTATCATGGTAAAAAGCAAAACTATAACTCACTCCAATTATTTTTAGATAAAACTCGTAGAATTGCACGTTACAAAGAAGCGGAAAATGTAAACAACGTAACGTATATTATGTCCACATTTACTGCCATGATAGTTTAATGTTTATATATTCTTTGAAGTAGTTTTTATATGCGAAGTGTTTGTTTCAGAAGGGAAATATCCAAAGTCCAAACTAAAGGGCGGACGTGAACGCAACACTAGCGGCTACAGCAGTGAGTGGCATCAGGTTCGTACACAGGTAAAGTTAGAATCTCCATTTTGATTAGTCTTCATTTACATTGGAAAGTGACGTACAAACCAC